TGTTCAACTTTTCTATCTCTTCCTAGTCCAGTTTTGGGAGACTGTGTGTTTCTAGGAATTTGTCCATTTCGCCTAGACTGTCAAATTTGTTGCCATATAGTTGTTCATAGTAGCTGTTAACGATCTTTTGTATTTCCGTGGTGTTGGTTGTTACTTCTCCTCTTTCATTTCTTATTTTGTGCTTTTGGGTTCTCTCTCTTTGTTTCTTGGTGAGTCTAGCTGAGGGTCCATCAATCTTGTTTATCTTTTTGAAAAACCAGCTCTTTGTTTCATTGATCCTTTGAATTTTTTTTTTTTTTTTTTTTGGTCTCTATGTCATTTATTTCTGCTCTGATCTTTACTATTTCCTTCTTTCTACTTGCTCTGGGGTTTTCTTTTTGTTTGCCTTCTAATTTTTTAAGTGGTGAGGTTAGACAGCCAATTAGAAACTTTTCTTGTTTCTTGAGGTAGGCCTGTAGTGCTATGAACTTACCTCTCAGAACTGCTTTTGCTGCATCCCATAGATTTTGTGTTGTGTGTTCATTTTCATTGGTTTCCAGGAAGTTTTTAATTTCTTCCTTGATCTCCTCGATAACCCATTCATTGTTTAATAACATGCTATTTAGCCTCCATGTTTCAAATGTCTTGCTTGTTTTTGTTGCAATTGATTTCCAGTTTCATGCCATTATGATCTGAGAAGATGCTTGATATGATTTCAGTCTTCTTGAACTTGTAGAGATTTAGTTTGTGTCCTATCATGTGGTCTATCTTTGAGAATAACCCATGTGCATTTGAGAAGAATGTGAATTTTGTAGTTTTGGGGTGTAATTTTCTGTAGATATTTATTAAATTCATTTGGTCTAGAGCTTCATTTAGAGTCTCTGTTTCCTTGTTAATATTTTGTCTAGAGGATCTATCCAGTGGTGTCAACAGGGTGTTGAAGTCCCCTGCTATGATTGTATTGCTGTCGATTTCTCCTTTGAAGTCCTTTAGAAGATTTTTAATATATTTTGGTGCCCCTATATTGGGTGCATATATGTTTATCAAGGTTATATCTTCCTGTTGGATAGATCCTTTCAATATTATGTAGTGGCCTTCTTTGTCTCTAGTTAGGGTCTTCATTTTGAAATCTATTTTATCAGATATGAGTATTGCTACCCCAGCTTTTTTTTCCTTTCTGTTTGCTTGGAAATTTTTTTTCCATCCCTTCACTTTCAATCTATGTGAGTTTGTTGTGAGGTGGGTCTCTTGTAAACAACATATAGATGAGTCATGCTTTCTTATCCAGTCAGCTACTCTGTGTCTTTTTATCGGAGCATTCAGTCCATTTACATTTAAGGTGATTATTGATATGTACTTATTTATTGCCATTTTTGTTTAGTTTGGTTATATTTTTCTTCCTATTTTTCCTGCTAATTACAGCAGTCCTTTTAACATTTCTTGCAGTGCTGGTTTGGTGCTAATGTATTCCCTTAGCTTTTTTGTCTGGGAAGCTCTTTATTTGACCTTCTATTTTGAATGACAGCCTTGCTGGGTAGAGTAGTCTTGGATTCATATCCTTGTTTTTCATGACCTTGATTACTTCATGCCATTCCCTTCTGGCCTGTAGTATTTCTTGTGAGAAGTCAGCTGAGAGCCTTATGGGGTTCCCTTTGTAGGTAACCTGTTGCTTATCTCTTGCTGCTTTTAGGATTCTCTCTTTGTCTTTAATTTGTGGCATTTTAATTACTGTGTGTCTTGGTGTGGGCCTGTTTGGGTTCTTCTTACTTTGGACTCTCTGTGTTTCTTGAACTTGAATGACTTCTTCCTTCACCAAATTAGGGAAGTTTTCTGTCACTATTTCTTTGAATATATTCTCCAACCCTTGCTCATTTTCTTCTTCTTCGAGGACTCCTATGATGCAAATATTATTATGTTTCCAGTTGTCCCACAGTTCTCTTAAGCTTCCTTCCTGTTTTTTATTCTTTTTTCCTTTTGGTTTTCTGATTTGTTGAATTTTTCTACCCTGTCTTCTAATTCGCTGATCCGATCCTCAGCTTCCTCTGCTCTGCTCTTTAGACCTTCCTATGTGTTCTTTATTTCTGATATGTCACTCTTGATCTCTTCCTAATGGTTTTTAATTTCCATTTGGTTTATTTTCAACATCTCTATGTCCTTAACTCATGCTCTTGAGCTTCCTTAAGATCATGGCTCTGAATTCTCGCTCTGTTAACTTGCCTAAGTGCTCCACATTGATATCATCTTCTGTGGAGGTCTCTTGTTCTTTCATTTGGCTTTTGTTTCTGTGTTTCACCATTTTGACTATCACAGTGTGCTTTGGAGCCTGCCAAGTTTTCCCTGTGAGTATTGGTGTTCTACTGTTTGTGGCTCCCTCTCCTGGGTTTAGATGAGCGAGGGAGGACCCACGTTAAACACCACTGTCAAGTCTTACTTTCCTGGTTAGAGTTGCTAGCCCAGGAATGGTACTGTTATCCTCTAGCTTTTTGCCCGGAGGCTAGCAGTCCAGGTTACTTGAAGAGTTTTGTGTTGTCAGTTGATTGAAAAACTCCCTCAGGTGCTCAACGTAAGGGGATTTCCGGAGGGTGGGGCAGATGCTGATTGTTAATGAGCCTCAATTTGCATTTCAATGGCCCACAGGGTGGGGTTGAATCTCCGAGGGAAAGGCTGCTGCCTCTCCCTAGAGCCCTGGGAAGGAGCAAGATGGCCACCATCCTGCGTGGCCGCAACTCAGCAAAAGCTCTGAGCCCCCTCCAAATCCCGAGTGTCCCCACACAGTTCCAGTCCAGTGTGCCCTCCCTCTGCCATAGCCCAAAGTGAGTGACTGTGGCTATTTTAGCCTCTGTCCTGGCTCTGCGCTGTGGAGCTCCTTGGAAGTGTTACCCAAGGGCGCTGCTCCCAGCTAAGGTTGCTGCTGTCTGTGGGCTCCCAGCCCCCGTCTCGCGCCTTCGCAATCCTACCAGGATTGAGTCAGTGTCCCTGGTTATATGGTCCTCATAAGCTGCTTTTCTGTTGCTTTTTCCCATCGATTTTTCTGTGTTTTAGTTGTAATTCCAGTTTGGTCCTGGGAGACGGTCTGTGTAGCTTCCATTCATTCCTCTGCCATTTTCAAAAAATCAAAGATTGACTTTTAAAAGAGAAATTATCTCTGGCCGGTTTGGCTCACAGGTTAGAGTGTGGGCCCGCAGAGTGGAGAGTCCTAGGTTCGGTTCCCACTAAGGGCACATACCTGCGTTGCAGTTTGTCCCTGGCCCTGGTTGGAGTCGTATGGGTGGCAACCACTCAATGTGTCTCTCTCACCTCGATGTTTCTCTCTCTCTCTTCCTCCCACTCTCCCTCCTGCTCTATCTGAATATAAATGCAGAAAAATGTCCTCAGGTGAGGATAAAAATAAATAAATAAAAAAGAAATTAGATTTGATTCAGGATTATCCCCAAATAATAGCACTCTACCCTGCATGTTTGGTCTTGGACATGACTGAAAGGGAAAGAATATGATGGTGGAGCAAAGAGGCCAGAGGAAACCAAAGCACAACCCTGCTATGCTCAAGGAGTCTGCCAAGGATGTGAATTCCCTCAGGTGTGCCTTGGCCGAAAAAAGAGGTCAATGCAGTAACATGGAGTGTACACTGGGGTCAGATGACTGAATTTGTGTACTGAATCTGCTCTTCATTGCTGTGTGACCTTACTTAACCCCTGTGTGCGTGTTGGTTTTCTCACTGGCAAAATAGAGTTGCTAAAGAATTAATCATCTGGTACACGTTAACCGAGAACAGTGCCTGGAAAATGGTAAGCACTTTCAATAAATGTTAGGAAAACTTTATACACTTTCAAGTCTTGTAAACAGTATCTCTAGCTCTCAAAAATGGCAACTATTATATTTCATACATGGACCTGGTTAAGTGAATAAGCATTTTAAGAATATATTTCCTAATTATTTTAAGCACATATTTAATACTTTTTCTTGCTTCATTGAAACCTAGTGAGATTGTTTGTGGATAATTTGGATGACCTGTGTTTCTTCTTTAAACTATCAAGAGAAGTATCAATTGCTGCTTTTTTATTCTGCTTGAGAAATAGCCTTATAACAAATTTAGGCATTCACTTTTATAAAGCAGCAAGACTGATACCTTGTGGGAAAAGTTAGGTAACATTTCCAGTCTTTGCTAAGGTCCTCCCAAGAACCTGTGATTCTGGCTGTTCTGTTGCTGTGATTTAGGGCACTGGCATTTCTTGCATTTAGACATCTGCTTGTGTAGCTCCTTTTCTTGGTCATCTCCCCATAACTCCCTGCTCATCCAATTCCTCAGAAGCCTCTCTTAAACCACAGATAAACTCATGGGAAAGTCCTTCATTAGACAAGACTGAGTGGGTAGAACAGCACGTAGCCAACGTTAAATTATGATCCCTTCACATATATCACATTGTTTGCCATAATCATGTTCTTGGTTTTAAAGCATCTTCATATGGGAATAGAATACTAGCCCATGTTCTGAACCAGGTGACCCACTAGTGACAAAATACAGGGCCAGTATTCCTTCTGCCTCCTATCCACAAGCTCCAGGGTGTATGCCTCTTGTCTGAATGCTTCTAAGACAATGGTCCAATTATCTTGCAAAGAACTAAATTTGTCCAAGAAGAGATGAGCATACCACTCCACAGTTTACCTATTTCTCCTGCAAATTTTCTATTAGGATAATCACAGCTGAGGAGGGCTGAGAAGGTGTCAGCTACATCTTTCTGTTGCTTCCTTCACCCATTTTCCTAAAGTGAGCATCCTTACTAGCTAAGAATTGCATGTATGCATCTCTTGAAAATGTAGAAACAAACTATGTATGAAGTCAGGCACATTTAATTTGGATGCCTAAATATGTTTTCTTTTTGAGGAAAAGATGATAGCATAAAGATTATGTGTTCTGAATAGCACAGAATACCCTTTGAAGGCCCTGTAAAATATTTGGACATATTTTGTTGTTCTAAAATAGCATGTGTTAGTAACATTGTATTTATCTCTGTATTTGAAAGATACGGTATAATCCACGCTGGCGGGGTGGGGAAATATCTCAGTGACTGGATCCTTCACGGAGAACCTCCTTTTGACCTGATAGAATTGGATCCCAATCGCTATGGCAAATGGACAACCACTCAATACACTGAGGCCAAAGCAAGAGAGTCATATGGATTCAACAATATTGGTAAAATGCAAATTTATTGTTTCTACAGAATGTGTACAGATGTGCAGCCCCTCTAACTCTAGATGCTTTTTATTCTTGCATTTGGGGGGGAGGAGGATTCTAAAGAGCCTTGTGCCTTGAAGATGCAACGAGAAATCTCTATTAATGTATATATTTTATGTGTGGAATGCACCAGTGATTTTCAGTTTTCAGTTTATTTTCACTTTTTGATAATCAGTATAAAAATGACAGCTTTGAGTTTGTTTGTTTGTTACATCAATGTAATATATGTATATGCTTCTGGATTTTAAGTACCATTTTCCATTTTGTGAATCCCTTCAAAGTATTTGATAGCCTTGGTCATATGCTATTTAGAGTACTGGGTTTCCTTTTTCAGTTGGGTACCCTAAAGAAGAACGGTTTGCTGGGAGGCCGACTCAGCGAGTCAGTGGGCTTTATAAAACCCTGGAGGCTAAATGTTCCATGGGGTTCCATGCAGGCTGGGAACAGCCACACTGGTTCTACAAACTGGGCCAAGATACTGGGTACAGGTGAGTAAATGACTCAGCCTGCCCGTGGCTCTGACTGCAGAATGCAGTTTCAGAGGTGCAGTGGAGGGACATCAGTGCCCTTCCCCCTCCCACCCTATCCCTCTACCCCATTCCTGCGGAATTTAATTTCTGGCAGTGGAGGCATCAGTCCACCCCGCATGACGCTGACCCACGTCTAGGACCCATTTGGCCTGGGGTCCTACACCAGCCCTGCTGAAGCCACCACTGGGCATTTTGCAGGAGCTCAGAGGAACCTTCTCACTCCATGCAAACCCCCATGTGCCTTCAGTTGGCTTCTAAAGTTGTGCCCAGGTTGATTGCCTGGTTGAATCACATTGTATAGAAACAGTATGGAAAAATGGGTCTTCTATTTATCAAGGAATAGCTCAAAGCAACTGTTTCCTAGTGTGTGTACACTGAGTCATGCTAATTATATGCACTGTTGATAAATTAGGGGAGAGCATCTTTTACTTAGCATTTGAGGTTAAGCTAAAACACAAAGACTGTCACTAAAACAATTCTCTGAATTCCTCTAACGTTGTTGCCATTGTTTTACTTGGATTACGTGCCATTGTTATACTTGGGATTGATTATATTTTTTTTTTTTCTCACGAGAATTCATAAACCGAGAGAAAACAAATACAAATCTAGGAATTAAGTTATCTTTTTAAATCTGTTTCATTGCTTATTTAAACAGGTTTTGCTGTCTACTTCAAGACCAGGTCTAAATGGTGCAGAGTGCAGTGGAGAGCCAGTTGTTGATCAATGGACTGGGCTCCCAGGCTGCCACCCTAGAGTATCTGGGGACAAAATATTGGTTTGGTTTTTCCTAAATGACTTAGATAAATGCCAGATCTATTCTTCATCTTGTGCTGTTTGGATCTGGCCTGCTTCCTCTACTATTTTAATAATTAAACAACTGAAAATTCATTTTGCAGACTTAGCAGCCTGCCCTGAAGTTAAAATAACACATTAGGAGTGCACTTCATCAAGTAGAAGGGACCCTGCATAATGAATTAGGAGACCTTTGTTCCGGGGCCAGCTCTCTCATTAAATAATGTAAAGTTCTTGGAAGTCACGTATGTCTTTTCTCTAAAAAATGAAGATGTTGGAGCAGATCCTTGCTTGGTCCAGGTTGGGGCCTGTTAGAAGGCAGATACGGGCCCCACACAGACCTGCTGCATCAGAATCTGTATTTGAACAAGTGCAAGTGCTTTGTATTTGCATTCGTTTTCAGAAGCACAGGAAGGTAGCTCCACCCCAGTATATTCTGATTTCATTAGGTCCAAAAAAATTGGTATTTTTAAAATGTGCCTTCTGTGACTGTAACATGCAACCAACGTTGAAAACCACAGCACTGGTTGACTTCCGAGCTTCCATCCGGATTTGAGAGCCCACCCATCCTATCTTACTTTCTAGTTAATAAATACTTTATTCACTATGAAATGGGTCAAAGGGATATATGAGTAACTTTAAAAAATCAGACTTCAACACATACGTATGATTTGCAGAGCAGAATTTTAGGTTGCATTTCCCCCCCCCCCCAAATAGGATTAGCTAGATGAATAGGTTTTATTAAAATATATATATTCTGTAATTTTCTGAAAACAAATGACAAATTGTTGTTTTGGTTTTTTATTTATTTATTTTTTATGACAAATGTGTTTCAGGCCAAGTTTTCGCCGCACAAACTGGTTTGAGCCGGTGGGCTCTGAGTATAAACAAGTTATGCAAAGAGTAGGGGTGATTGACCTGACACCATTTGGCAAGTTTAACATCAAAGGCCAAGATTCTATTAAATTGTTGGACCGTCTCTTTGCAAATGTCATCCCAAAGGTAAATAACCTTAAAATGGTACAAGGTCCAGGATTGTGGCCTGCTTAATTCTCTATGCTCTCATATGTTCTTTTAGTCCACCTAATGATTTCTGTATGAACACTAGAACTCTCCAACTGATCAAGTGTATTCTAGCTAGTTTTTTAATTTAAATTTTTGTTGAATTAATTATTCTCCAAGGACCTTGTGAACTTTGCTTAATTATGTCAATAGGAACTACAACATTGACTGAAGTATAATTTTTATGACAAATAATTGTAATTTAAGCTGAAAACTTCAAAATTAATCTTGGGCTTGGGTTTACAAATAATTCATACAATTGATATAAAGGATAAGAATCAGATGGCTTTTATTGTTGACACCGACATTTTTGTTTCTATGTTGATTTAAAAGGAAACAAAATTTTTGTTTCTTTCTGAGATAATTTTATATTTGTTTATTTTTTAAGGTTTATATTTTTTTAAATAATTAATTTATTTTTGTTACAGATGTTTCTCCTTTCCCCCCATTGACACCCTCCTCCCAATCCGCCCCCACCCAGCATTGTTGTCTACATTCATTGGTCATGCATATATAAATATAACTTCTTTGGTTTAACATCCTGAGATAATTTTAAATTCTTTTATGCAGGTGGGTTTTACAAATATAAGTCACATGTTAACACCAAGAGGTCGAGTATATGCTGAACTAACTGTTTCTCACCAGTGTCCTGGGGAATTTCTACTAATAACCGGTTCTGGGTCGGAGCTTCATGATCTTAGGTAATTGTGCACCTAGTGAGACAATCTCATGTGGATTAAACATTGACTTAATCTTAAACAGAGCTTTTCTTTTACCAGTAGTTGGAAGTACAACTTTAATTCTTAAAACTCATTGCTTCAAATAAATTTCATGTCTTTATAGGAAATTATTTAAAGTGAGGGACCCTGTCCCTGTCCACTTCCAAAAGGGGATCCCTCTACAGGGTGTACTGGTTCTAATATCAACTCCCATTTATGAGTCACCATCAATGTGTCAGAACTATTTTTACATATAATGTTAATTCTCTTAATAGATATATATTTGCACAGTATATATATTATTCCCATTTTCAGATGAGGAAATTGTAGTTTGGGTTAAAGTAACTTGCTGAAGCCAATCTTTTATATTCTGATGCCCACCTTCAGTAAACTGCCTCCCTGGGTGAGCTTCTCCCCTGGTCATGCTTTGTGCTCTCTGATCCACGGCTGGATCTAAATCGTCGACCTGTCAGGTTGATCCTTCACATGAATCTTTAGTCTATTATTTAGTGCACTATGAAGTCTGTGGTCTGTAGTCTACAGATCTGGAATATTGTTGTTTACTAAATGTCAGAGTAGGAGTGAATAGACGGAATTGTCATCAATGTTGGACAGGAGAAATCTTGACTGGAGTTATAAAATGATGCAAATTATATCCTCCAATCCAAGATGTATTGGGAGCTATTTTGGTAACTTAGCTTTGTGTAAATCCAGATGATCATTTTACGATAGACCCGTGTAGTTCCAGGGACTGTTCAATAAATCAGAAACAAGCTCTATAACTGGGTTCCAATAACTCATCAAGACAGAAATTGAAAATAGTCTTTAGAGTTTTTACATTTTTCTTGTGATTGTCAAAGCAATTCCGTGTCTGTTAGGAGGCATGTTACTAACTTTTGGCAGCGTGGATGTGCCTCCTGTGTACAGGTATTAGAGAAAATTTGGGTTTAAAATAATTTTTGAAGATTGAGTCATTAGTTTAAATGCAGCAGGGCACACAAATAATTGTGTGGCAGAGCTCATTTAGATGGAAGGATCCTTCTTACTGTGAAAAATTACCCCCACTGTATATAAGCAGGTGGTTTATAGAGAATCACTTAACATCTCTGGGACTCAGTTTCTTCAAAGTTAAAAATTAGGTGATTATATGAAACGACACTCTGGGGACTTTCTGTTAATTCTAGACACAGAATATGTCTTCAGAGAAATACTGTATTACCAACATGCATTATTCAAGCAAGATTTAACATAACTTTTACAACTCAAATGCAGATGGATTGAAGAAGAAGCAGTCAAAGGTGGATATGATGTTGAAATTAAAAACATAACCGATGAGCTTGGAGTCCTTGGTGTTGCAGGGCCCCAGGCAAGGAAGGTCCTTCAGAAACTGACGTCTGAAGATCTGAGTGATGATGTTTTCAAGTTTCTTCAAACCAAGTCTTTAAAGGTTTCCAGCATTCCTGTCACTGCTATTAGGATATCTTATACTGGTAAGAATCACAAAATAACCTAGAGTGAGTTTCTAAAATTTAAAAGATGCTACCAGATGTGACCTTGGTCTCTCCCTCTCCGTCTCTCTCTCTCTCTCTCTCTCTCTCTCTCTCTCTCTCTCTCTCTCTCTCTCTCTGGCTCTCCCTCTCACACACTCTCTCTCCCCTGTCAGTGTAATTTTGGAGGAAGATTTCTCCTGCTCAACTTTTTTTTTTTTTTTTATCCTCACCCGAGGATATTTTTCCATTTTTTGTACAGATAGAGTGGGAGGGAGAGAGAGGAAGGAGAGAGAGAGAGAAACATCGACGTGAAGGGACACATCGAGTGGCTGCCACCCGCACGACCAACCAGGGCCGGGGACAAACTGCAACCGAAGTACGTGCCCTTAGCGGGAACCGAACCCGGGTCTCTCCAGACCGCAGGCCGACGCTCTAACCGCTGAGCCAAACTGGCCAGGGCTCTCCTGCTCAACTTTTATGACAATTCTGACTATGCACTTTTAGTCTGAGAGTCATTCCACAGATTTCCAATGTCCTATAGCTGCCTACCATTTTAAGGTTAGACAAGGAATAGGAATACAACGGCTGCTGGAATAGTTGGAAGGACTGACAGGATATTTCGGCCAGCTGACTCTGTCTGGGAACATCAAGATTATTTCCCGTAGATCGTCTCCCATAGAGACCATCTTAAATGTATCAGGCACCTCTCTGCAGCATTCCTGCTATCCATCTTTCTTTCTAGACTCTAAGTGCCTCAGGGAAGTCTTCACACAGCACCTAACCTTGCACATAGTAGGCATTCAAAACAGAGCTGAATGAATGTTCTTCAGCTCCCCATTGGTGGTCTGGGCTCGCTCCTAACTCCCTTTAGACCTCCTTGTCCCTTCGCTAAGAGTACTGGGTGCCCAGGCACTTGTTCAGTTGCATGTTGCTCATGCTCTGGTGGTGTCCTGGAAAAACACGTCACCTCCAGCTCTCAACAATGGGGAATAAAGAGAGAATACAGCAGAGAGACCATAGCCCTGCCCTGGCATCCATGTACCTTTCCCCAACCCCTTCCACCTAACCTTGTAAAATGCTGACCAGAAGAAAGCATAAGCAGGCTGGGTTGGGTTTCATTTCCTTTAGTTTTTACCTACAGCTCTAATGGTGAAAGAAATAACCAAGTGGGGAAGAAAGGGGGACTAGGGGTAAATCAAGACTATGACTATCCCACAAAGAAGGCCATTTGAATAAATGTCAGTTGCCTATATTTTTAAGCCTTGTGGTTTTGGGGCAAGAAGTTGGGAGTGGCCCTGGCTGGTTTGGCTCAGCAGTTGGAGCGTCGGCCTGCGGTGCAGAGAGACCCAGGTTCGGTTCCCACTAAGGGCACGTACCTCGGTTGCAGTTTGTCCCCGGCCCTGGTTGGTTGTGCAGGTGGCAGCCACTCGATGTGGCCCTTTCACATCGATGTTTCTCTCTCTCTCTCTTCCTCTCTCTCCCTCCCGCTCTATCTGAACAAAAAATGGAAGAATGTCCTTGGGTGAGGATAAAAAAAAAAAAAAAAAAGAAGTTGGGAGTGGAGTTGCCTAAACCTTGAACCCCTTAACTGCATAAACGATGCTAATTACTCAACATCATGAAGCTGAGGTCAAGAGTCAAGATGAAATCTTGCTGCACTACACTCTTTCTGTGTCGTGTGAAGAGGTGGCCTAGATATCACCCTCTGTGTCAAAGACAGGATTGGGCACGGATGCATCTGTGATAAGGCAGGTTCCTTTGCAGTGGGTTTTTGTTGCAACTTTTAAAATGAATTGGTCTTTTAAAACTCAGCAGTGTTTATGTTGCATAAATGGAATCTCTCCATTTATTTATGTGTTTTAACTAATGCACGTTAGACCTCATGACTATTGTTCTCACTCTGATGTGCACTTGTGGGTTTGTTTTAGGTGAGCTGGGGTGGGAGCTGTACCACAGACGAGAAGATTCTGCAGCGCTGTATGACGTCATCATGAATGCAGGCCAGGAAGAGGGGATTGACAGCTTTGGAACATACGCCATGAATGCTTTAAGACTGGAGAAAGCGTTCAGAGCCTGGGGGTCAGAGGTTCGCAATGCTAGCCTCTTCGTTAAAATTCTGTTTACTGTACCTGGTTTTTATATCAGGGCTAGTTTTATTTGTGGGGTTTTTTGTTTTTCATCCTTTTTTTTTTTTTTTTTTTAAATAAGGGGTAGTTTTAACTGCTTTAACATTAGCCCTGACTGTAAGAGAAATTATGTATTATTAGAAAACTTTACTTAATTAGGGGAAGAGGTTTTTCTTTTCAATTTCCCAGTTGAAAGTTCAGTGGAATTATGACTTAATGTTTATTCTGCCTAATTCCTCCTCTGGCGGAGAGCCCGGACGTCGTCTCTGACTGTGTGGAGCTGTGGCCGCCGAGGGAGCCGGCCTGCCCCACTGTGGGAGGACCGCCTTTCAGATTCTCCCCCTCCCTGTCCTATTGCCCATTCTCATTTTCTTCTGATCATGTTCCTTTTGGGGAAATAACACAGATGGTTTCTTTCTGAGGAGCACAGTCGATAGTCTAGGATGTGTCGTCTCGCCTACTTCTACCATTGATAACGGGAAGTCAGGGTTTCTGTTTGTGAAGTTACACACCGTTTTCACATGCGTGGTTTCATATACCTTCTCAACTCCCCCGATCATTGGCCATCGAGGTATCTAAATGATCCCTGTTCTGCACACAATCACACTAAGAAACAGTACACAGGTCGGTCCAGGTACATGGTTCAAACTCTGTTCTTCTATTTCTCTCCAATGTGGCAGGCTGTCTCTGGACCCCTTTGCTATGTCAGATTCCTGGTTGTTTCCTAAGACATTGGGGTTTTAGGCTGGAGAGGCGAGACGAGGAATGGTGGTAAAGGATGTACTTTAAAGTGGGGTCTCTGCCTTTGAATTTATGCTCGGCCACATATGTTGCCTTGTCTCTCCAGAGCCTCTGTTTACGTCCCCATAAAATAGAAACAATCTTTCTCCTACAGAGTTACAGATATTAGATAGTCTATAAAGTGCCTGGCACATAATAGAATGAATGTAACTGGAGAGCAAAGTAGGTTTGGAAGCCCAGGCAGGGCCCTTGGGCAGCCACACTATGGGCCGGAGAGAGTGGGCTCTGAGGTGGAGAGGGCAGCCCCCGGGAGCCTCTGTAGAAGGAAGGCCCTGAGGCAGGTCGGCATTTTGCAGGATTCCCAGCCTGCAACCAGGCCGTTAGATGAGGGGAGAGAAACAGAGGGCAGCTCTGACCCCACCCTGCTCCCCAAGGAATGAAGCCCCAGAGAGCCTTTGGAGTCAGGCATTTCTCCCTTCTCCTGCCTTTTGTGACTTCCTGCCTCCTGGCTGGCAGCCAGCCTCTGAACAGCGCTTCTCCATCCCAGGTCGCTCGGTTTCCCAGCAGTGCCAGCACGCCCTCTAGTGGTACTGTAGCAGTCAATCTTCTGGGCTTGCTTTAATTTTTTTCTCCGGGAGAAATACTCAAAAATAATTTTAGAGTTGCTCAAATTAATTAAAAATTTGAGACAGGATTTTATATCATGTGAAACAGGTTTATATTACTCATCTGGTATATACAAGCACCGTGCTGTCTCTTAAAAAAATGTTTGGCTACTTTTTATGAGGTTTAGACAAGTTCTCTTGGAGCAAAAGAGACAACAGCAACAAAATTAACAAACAAACAAGTACCATTAACTTCAGGTTTAGTCCGAAGTAGTGGCTTTAGTACTGACTTGAGGTATATTGTAATAACTCAACTGTATTTGAAAAAATGGAGGCCCATCCTGTCCAACCCGCAGGCTGGGGACCTAGCGGTCAGCCCATGTGGCTGACCTAGCAAGCAGCCACCACTCAGAAGAGAGAGCATGAGGAATTCCTCTTCTTACCTGTGGCATTTAAATATTTATGAAATTTGAAAACTATAACTGCAGTTCTGATTCATGGATCGTCAAAGAAAGCAGAGATCAGAGGGTCTACGCAAGGGGCAGGTTTGGGCAGATGTGAAGCCTGATACTAAAACAGGAGCTGGAATTTAATGGTGAACCACACAGCTGGTTCCTGCTCTCACAGAACTTGAAGTTTAGTGAGGAAGATAAAACCAGACAAGCAAGTAACAGGGGAGCCTGTTTGAGGTGTGCTGGTGTCAGCGAGGCCTCAGTTTCCTTCTGTAGCCGCGTCATTTGGACGGCGGCTGCTCTCATGTTCTCACACGTTACTGCCGTGACTCTTCACCGTGTGGACCCTGCTTCATCTTCTATCAGGGACTGTGGTGCCGTAGCTCCAGAAAAGTGCTTGTTTGGGGCAATGTTCCATTTCACCACAGTGTTATGTGTTGCTGCTATTTATGTTCGTTATAAGCTAGTCCGTGCCCTGAATCCCGCAGGGAAATATATCACCAGATTAAACAAGGCTGGCCTTGGACTTGGATTGCTGAGTTGTTTAGGGATTTCTATGTGGCAAACTTCTAGAAAACAACTTGAAAAATTTTCACATGTGTGTGGAGCTGTGCTCACCTTTGGTGGGGCCTTCCTGTGCATGTTTGTTCAGACCATCCTTTCCCACCAACGGCAGCCCCCACTTCGTGGCAAACACGTCACCTGGACGAGACTCCTGCTGGTCATCTGGTGTGGGGTCCATGCGCGTAGCTGCCGACTTGCTCATCACTTTTGTGGTGGCTGCTGGGGCTCAGATGTCGCACAGCAGTGCACTGGAACCCAAGGACAGAGGTCGTGTGCTCCGTATGCTCACGGCCTCAGCGGAATCCATGCCACTTTCCTTCTTTGTGTTCTTCCTGACTTATATCCATGATTTTTCAGAAAATTTCTGTACAGATGGCAGCCAATTTACACAATGAACTGTCTTTGACACTGCTTCCTGTCCTGTCAACAGTGATCGAGCTGGTCTACTTTGCAGAGGTGTGCAATGGAAGGATACCGTGTTTCCATGATTATTAATTATGGTTCTCAGGGACTCGGAAAACGTTCATAAGTTACTTCCTCAGCTCTGAAATTTTTAACCAGTTAGTCAAGGCTGGCAGTGACATTGATGATCCTGATAACCAAGACACATGAATTAAGCCATTTTATAAATTATTTTGAAGGATATCTTCAAGAGGATCATGTGAAAACATTTATGCCTATACTTCTTTTTAATCCTAGAAAATAAAACCAAAGACTATTTTTAAAAAGAAAAGAGAAGATTGAGATTCAACCTCTCTTTTTTCTTTTTCTCTTTTCCTGAACTCTGTAGAAGTTCTTGTTCTACCATCTGCTTTCTCCTCTACTTATCCTGATTCCTGGCTAATTGTAAGATATGTAAATTCATAACTTTTCGAAACTTAATTATGCAAAATTGTTACATAAAAACATGAAAGTCTAGTTTCTAGAAGGAACATCCTGTTGTGGTACTCCTCGGATATTTATTATAATAAAAGTCATGGAAACAAACTATGAATTTTAGTTTCTTTTGCTATTGAAATAATAGCTGACTTTTAGATTTTAAAAAATCACTTTAATCCTCACCCGAGGGTATTTTTCCATTTTTTGTACAGATAGAATGGGAGGGAGGGAGAGGAAGGGAGAGAGAGAGAGAAACATCGACGTGAAAGGGACACATCAAGTGGCTGCCACCCGCACGACCAACCAGGGCCGGGGACAAACTGCAACCGAAGTACATGCCCTTAGCGGGAACCAAACCCGGGTCTCTCCGGACCGCAGGCCAACACTCTAACCGCTGAGCCAAACTGGCCAGGGCTAAAAAATCACTTTAAAGACCAGCCCATAATTTTTCTTTTTTACAATCTATACTCAAAATCAAAAAGTGTTCTTTTTTCTAAAAAAAAAAAAAAAAAATACATGAAAGTTACTGAAATGACTTGTACTCATCTAAGATTTAAAACGTGTGCTTCCCTTTTAGATGAACTGCGATACAAATCCCTTGGAAGCTGGACTGGAATATTTTGTAAAGCTAAATAAGGTAGGTTTACATTCCAAAGTGTACTTGAAGTAAATCTTAAAATTATGCTGTCTCATGGCAGAGCCTTGCTTTAAAATCTGACCAAGTATGATCATAGGACAAATAAATTGAACAGAAATGCTAAGCATTGCCTAAGTGCTTCATAGTAAGCTTCGTCGAAATTTGATATCAGTTCAAACTACTCCAGTAGAGGTAAGATAGCTGAATCTAGCAACTTCGAAGACCAAATCTACATTCTAAGATAAAAATTAGTAAGGATAAGATTCAGCAGACATTATTCTAAAACCTGGTGACTCGTGAAGCCACACATCAGTTAGTCAGACGTGCTGCATTCATGACTCTCCCTGAGGCTCACAGCACAAAGCAGCCTCGCCTCGCACATCTGTCCAGCTGCTTATTAAGCATCTTTGTATGTAACTGCAACATCTGAGTATAAGCAAATGACACATTTCAAACGTGTTCAGCATACAATAGGTATTTAGTGAGAATCCAACACAGATCCAAAGAATCATAACTGATACTGACATTCTAAAGGGAGCTCCTACATCAGTGGTTTTCAAAGTGCAGTTGGCAGACAGAACACATCAGCATCATCTGGGAGCTTGTTAGAAATACTTTGCTCAGGTTCCACCCCAGACGTACTGAATCGGAATGCCTGGGGGTCAGGCCAAGAAATCTGTTTTACCATGCTGCAGGGGATTCTGGTGCACCTGCAGTTAGAGAAGCACCACCCTACATAATTATTGTGCAAAAGTACATTATGAGGTCAATTTATTATAGCTTAGCTTATCTGTACAAGCCCTTATCTGTAAATATATGTGTGGGGTGGTCCCATTGGTATGGACTGAATGTTGTGTCCCTCCAAAATCCATGCGTCAGAGCCCTTACCCCCCTATAATGTGGTACTATTTGGAGGTGGACCTTTGTGAGGTATTCGGCTTAGATGAGATCATGGCATGGGGCCCCATGTCCAAATTCATGTTCTTATGAGAAGAGGAAGAGAGACTAGAAGCTTGCTCTCTGTACACAAAAGCACACGGCGAGAAGGCAGCTGTCGGCAAGCCAGGCCGAGTCCACTTACAGGGGCATTGAACTGGCCGGCACCTGGATCTTGGACTTCTCAGCCTCCAGAACTGTGAGAAATAAGTTCCTGTTGTTTAAGCCACCCGGTCCGTGATACTTCGTTATAGCAGCTCAGGCTGACTCAGACACCCATTGAGCAGTGTCTCCGTTACCATGAGAACTCCACTGAGTGGCAGTTAGGTTGTAGGTAGGAAGAGGAGCTGCTGCCGTTCAGGATACTTGTGGGAATCCCAGTAACAAAGGGGTGTCAGTAAGCTAAAGTGAAAACTGTTTCCCAACCTGTGGAGATATTCGAACAATGCATATGAATCAATCCAAGGAAACTTTTTTAACGCCCCTGCATCATTTCCCAATTCTGAGCTAAAATGTGAACATAAACACGTATGTTTACAGTATTAGATTTTAGGAAAAAGAGCCTCCTTCTTAAGGGTCTTAAAGGGAATACCTTTCTGTGCATGTTCCCCATGACTTTTGTTTTATGATGTGCCATCTGCCTCCAGACCGGAGAAAGCAGGTGCTTGGAATTCAAGCAGACCCTAGCAGCAGTTTGTTCCTTCTTATAACAGAAGTCTTAGTTTAGCTGTTTAAAATATGGATAAAAATGGCCTGGCTCTTGAAAGCACTAAAGTTCCATTATTGGTCACCAATAGGTAAAGAGATAACTGTCTCTTTTGCTTCGGTGTTTGGGTATTATTGTTTGGGAATAAGGCACAGAAAAATTATCTCTTCATATTTGAAAATGGACTTTAAGACTCCCTTTATGGTTATAAGCAGGTGAAAATTGTGTATTTATTAGTCCTTGTAAATTATTTCAATAACCAAAGCCCAGCTCAAAACTAAATGAGTTGTTGAACAGATAATGATTTTGATTTACGGTGTGTTTTTATGATTTCTGAATTGTTGCTTCTCATTTTGGTGTCACAAAGTTAATTTCTGATGTTTCATTGGGTGAAGGTTCATGTAGCACAAGGAACTGGACCTACCTGGAACAGTCTTTTCCAATTATGTTGACTCAGGTGGCTAGTGGCTATCAGCCTAGCCATACTGATGTTTGCTAATTTCCAAAAAGGTGAATAGGTTGGATCAACTTTGTTTAGATCCTTCAGACATACCTGATTTTATTGCTGTTCTCTTTATTGTGCTTCACAGATGTTGTGTGGTTTTGTTTTTTTACAAATGGAAGGCAAGGTCTCGCTACTTGAGTATTGCACTAAAGCGACTGGAGAGCCTTGCCTTCCATTTGTGAAAAACAGCTTCTGTGATGCACAATAAAGCGACTAGCAATAAAACCGGGTATACCTCTATGCACAATTCCCTGCTCAGCCCTTACGTGTCTATACAATGGTCGCATAAGCCGTACTAGGAACAAAAATGTAGCGATGTACTGTAACTGTGTCACAGCTAGGAGGGCCCCGGAGATCGGAGGTCACTGGGTCCTGCCTCCTCATCTGAGGGCGGCGAAGCCGAAGCGCAGAGGCGGAGAGACATAGGCACCATCAGCAGGGTTAGTGCAGGTTGAGCTCTGACCTTGCTGTGGTCCTTTCCCATAAAGGGCTTATTCGCCTCGAATAACTGCCCAGGAGTTCCCTTTTCCGGGAACATATAGCATGTACATGGACTACACTTTACTAATTGACACCTCCCAACGTCATGTTTTTGTTATAACAAATTCTGTGTTTGATGGTAGATCGGAATAGCTGCTTTGCCTCTTTTAATTAGGCTTCATTAGGGTGGACTGAGTCCTTGTCAAACTGGTACAAACGTAGGGAAAAGAAAAACGGATGTTGAGGAAGTCTCAGCTGGTAAAGGGAGGCGGAATGACCGCACTTGCCTTTCTTACTTCTTAAGTTGTTTGAGCTTCAGTTCCCCCGTGGCATTGGCTAAGTAGATAAACACTGTGCACAACATTCATCTAATCAACATTCATTAAGTTTCATTTATTGAACACCTTGCTAAACCACAGGTCTAAACGTTAAAGATGTAACTCCTGGTGGCTGTCAGATTTGTGAAGCTTGAAACAGATGGTATTTCAGGGGCTAACGCTGTGGGAAACATTCTTAACATTAATTGTGAAGACGTGGTCCGCGGGAGGAGGGGGTTTAGCAGCACAAAACAGTGCCATCTCGTGGACAGTGTGGGTAGGGCCTGAAGAGGAAGCCTTGGCCAGAGCCGTGGTGCAGGTGGAAATAACTGAATACGTGTACACGCTTTTACATTTCCTCAGCGAAAACCCCGCTACCTGAAACGACTCGTGTCATTGTGCTTACTGGTATTAGAATTTGTCCCAAAGGACGTTACTTTGGGGGGGGGGGCGGAGTTAGTGTCATTTTTTAAATCAAGAGCAGAAGGAAAATCAGCTGCCTTAAAATGGAGTCATATGTATTCCTGGAATTTTCCTCTTGGAATTACTGCATCTTTGCCCATTTCCAGAGAACCTCAGCCAAGATTCGCAGAGAATGAAGTACTAAGTGAAATGTGTTTAAGCAGATCAGAATATTTTTTCTATAAGATTCCCCCACCCCCTTCTTTCTCTCCCTCTCTTTTCCTTTCTTGGGCTTCTAACCAGAGAAATGGAATAAAATGTAGATTATATTAATCACAAGTTAGAAGACAATGTTGATTCTAGAAAATACAGGGTTTCTCTTTGTAGAAAAATTATTTAAAGCATAACTATTCAGTAAGCAAAACAAAACACAAAACAGTACAATAGCAAAGAACTTATCACCAGGCCTACTACATCCTAAGTATTCAAGAAATATTAGCTTTTTTAAACCATCAAAGTAGAACTAAATCATTGTTGACAGACAGCAAGTTAGAAAGGAATTTCTAATATGCTATAGTGGTAAAAGTACCCAACTCTGTTGGGGATATTATAGGTAAATAGTAGTAAGAATTGAGGAGGCAGAATATTGTCAGTGACTCTCAGTTTTGGTTACATGTTAGAATCAACTGGAGCGTGATTCTTTAAAATCATATGATGCCCCCCCACTTGCAAACTATATTTGCCACCATGCTCCCCAGTAAATGGCATTATGTTATAATAATATTTCAAAGAAGCTACCAGCATTCCACATACTATGTTCAGCAGAGTATTCTTTTATTTTTAAAATTTATTTAATTTACTTAATTGCTTCACCTTTTTCACCTAGTCCCCCACCTGCCCCTCCTCTGACAGCTATCAGTCTGTTCTCTATACCTATGAGTCTGTTTCTATTTTGTTTGTTAGTTTATTTTGTTCATTAGATTCCACATATGAGTGAAATCATATGGTACTTGTCTTTCTCTGTCTGGCTTATTTCACCTGGCATAATAATCTCCAGGTTCATCCATGCTGTTGCAAAGGGTAAGAGATTCTTCTTTTTTATAGCTGCATAGTCTTCCATCATGTAAATGTACCACAACTTTTTTATCCACTCATGTACTGATGGGCACTTGGGCTGTTTCTAGATTTTGGTGATTGTAAGTAACACTGCTATGTCTTCATTCTTTTAACCTCATGCTTGTTGTAGTCTTAGGAATTAACGGGAAAGCAGAAAAACAGGTAAACTGATCAGAGGCTGGTGCTACAGAATCTGTAGTGGATTGGAAGTAAAATCAGTAGATGTATGACCCATTTTGGCTAGTCTGCTGGTTAATAATTCTATCCCCACCCCCCTTTTTGTGGAACTGTCAGGAAGTGAATTTCTTTTTAAAGCACCAAATGCTAGCTATGTGACTGGGGGATCACTTTCCCAATTATTGAAGAAATCCAGCGGAGAGATATCAGTGGCCTCAACTAAGGCAGTGGCCATAGGATGGAGAAGAAAGAGGTGTGAGTGATAATTGAAATGTAGGGTGGAGACTGCATGAGGGACTGTATGTGAAGGGAGTGGGGAGGGATCTTGGATGCTGTTCAGGAATTGGGGGGCACAGGAGAGATGTGACTGGAGGCTGAAGGATTTGTGGGGTTGCAGAGCTCTGGGACAGCCAAGAGGAGAGTCTCAGACAGCAGCTGAGCATATGGATTTGGAGCTCTCTGCTCTAAAAGTCTGGATTTAGATGATTTGTGTAATAGGTGGTAATTAAAACCAGGGTTGTGTTCGGAACTCTGTTCTACAGCACCCTGTACTTACTTCTCCTGTGGTACTTACACACCCCCTAATGCTGGCTGCTTCCTCAACTAGACTGTTAGACCGTGAGCTCTCTGAGAACAGGGGCCAAGGATCCGTAGGGCTAGAACTGTGTCTGATCATTAGTAGGGGCTTAGTAAGTATTTGTTGAAGGGTTTGAATCCTGGCTCTACCACTTACTGGTTCTAAAACTAAACAAGTTGCTTAACCTTTAAGCACTTCAGTTTTATCATCTGTAAAGTGAAGAAAATATCCACCTCGTAAGATTATTGTAAGTATCAGATGAGATCAAGAACATTTGGTACCTTCATAAATGTTAGTTCCCTTCCATCATATTGACTTGATTCTAAAATCGTTTAGATGCAAAAAATAAAAAGAATAAAAAAGAGCCCTGGCTGGTTTGGATCAATGGTTAGAGCGTTGGCCTGAGGACTGAAGGGTCATGGGTTCAACTCTGGTCAAGGACTCATACCTGGGTTGCAGGTTCGATCCTCAGCTCTTGTCGGGGTCATGCAGGAGGCAACCAATCGATGTGTTTCTCTCACATTGATGTTTCACGCTCTCCCCCCTCCCCCTTTCACTCTATCTCAAAATTAATGGAAAAGTATCTTCAGGTGAGGATTAACAACAACAAAAAAGAGCTATAGATAAATTTCTTTCAATTTTTTGAAGACTTCAGCAAGGAAGATCTTGGGTCCTTAGTGAGACCTCATTTCTTCATGGTTTTCTCATTTCTTTTAATAGTTATTTAGCATTTAGTCTTGAGTGTTATACTTAAAACACCAAATGGGTAATTGTTCTTCACTCTGGTCTAGAGAGATCAAAACTCTATTTTTTTCTTTATCCTCACCTGAGGACATTTTTCCATTTTTGTTTAGATAGAATGGGAGGGGGAGAGAGGAAGAGAGAGAGAGAGAGAGAGAGAGAAACATCGACGTGGAAGAGACACATTGAGTGGCTGCCTCCCGCATGACCTCAACCCGGGCCAGGGACAAACCACAAATGAGGTATGTGCCCTTGACTGGAATTGAACCTACAACTATTGGTCCGTGGGCCGATGCTCTAACCGCTGAGCCAACCCACCCAGGGCCAAAACTCTAGCTTGTAATCATTGCTAATGCAGTTAAACGTGGAAGTACATCAGACAAAGCCACAGGTCCACTCCCCAGCTTTTCCCTGCATCATTCGACTCAGAAACTGAAAAGTGAATGTTCTCTTTAACGTTAAATCTCACAAAGGTCATAGAACACATATACATGGGCTCTCTCCCTGCTGTAAAAGCAGGAGCAAAATCCCAGCAGCAGTGCTGTGCCCGGTTTCCAGGGGAGCTTTCTTGGGACCCGGGATGTCACACTGAAGCTTTGATATTTGGAAGCTTTTGATATTTAGATTAAAGGGATTTGGGCCAAAAAAGTGTATCAAACCAAGGACTTCCTTGAATTTTCTAATGGGTACTCACTCCAAATATATGAAACAGAAAAGGTCCAAAACTTATGTTTTTATAATTTCTCTCCTGGTCTGTGAGAGCCAGTTACCCTGACTCTCTCTGTATGAGAACCTCCCATCGGCTACTACTGAATTCGACGTTAGCTACATCTGAGAACTCTCCATTGCCCTGACAATCGTGGCAAAAATATACTAATTTATTTCATTTCCATATGCTTTTAGCTAATGTGTGTGCTTTTAATGGAGCTCATAAGAAATGAGTAATTACATTTCACTTGAAATCTACTTAATGTTTTCATCTATGTGGATATTATGTTTAGTATGTATTACAGGTGGCTGTGTTAATGTTCTTATTGCTCTTTAAAATTAATACATTTAAAAAAATTAGCCAAGGATACTTTTTTTTTTTTTTAATCCTCACCCAAGGGGCAGGGGGAGGGAGAGAGAGAAAAATGGATTGGTTGCCTCCCACAACCCACCACTCTACAGGCTGATGCTTTGACCCCTGAGCCAAACCAGCCAGGGCAGCCAAGGCTGTTTTTAAGCTATAGTCTTCGAGCCCTAGAAATTATGTTGCCCAAAGACATGAACAGCTATTTATATATTAATTTGGCAGTGACTCACCAAAGAAATGTATTTCTGTTCTTAGATCATCTTGAAAGCACCAATTTTAATCACAGCGCTTACTTTCAGACATATTTTCTTCTCTCATTTATAATTAATAACTATATAATAAAATCTATAATCTTGGGAGGAAAGCCAAGTAAAACGAGAATAAAATGCCATTGCTCTAGGTTAACCCTTCCCAAGCTAGGAACCAGGTGAGCTTGGGAAGGGAGCATCGTCTCGAGGGGCAGGTGTAACCTCTTATGTGTTTTACATATGTGCACCTTACATTTAATTAGGTTTCTGTTGTTGGTTACAGTATTGTTTTAATTTATGTCTGAGAACAATATTGCTGACAAGATCACTTCCTAACTCAGGGACATATAGATGTCACATTTTATTAATATTAACCTTCAGGGTATTTTCAAATCCTTTTATGTAGTACAAAAATATTGTTGTGGAGTGAATATATTTCAAACTAGGTTTAGGCTATCTAGAAATAAGTGAAAAGAAATATTCTTTAGATTATTTACAACAGCTGTGTCTGCCAATGATAGTCTGTAGGTACAGTCATTAAAAAACATATATGGATAAAATCTGAAGGTGCTGAGTTCTGTTGCCCTGTAACTGAGCCTTACCTTTGCTGGGCCTTTCTCTTCCCTAAACGGGTGTAAAACTGTCTCCTAGGAATGCATGAGGATTAAGTGGGCTCATGCATGCACAGTCCTCAGCACGGTGTCTAGCTCATAGCAAGTGCCTAATACATTGTAAATATTATTTATTAATATTATTTCTTTTTTACTGAATTTATTACTTTAATTTTCTCTTCTAAATGAAGTAGTCTAGGGTTGTCTCCGCCTTTTCCTATTTCTTGTGATTAGCTGATACCTGATGTCCCTGCTTAGACTTGGGTAAAATTGTGAATTTGGTGAAAGTGGAGTAAGGCCCCCCTTCCAGCACATCTTATTCCCCTCAACCTCCCAGCACCCGCCCCAATAGCTCTCACCCAGCACCCCCAAAAGGACCCATTTCTGAAAGCTTTGGTTGCGGCGGCTTTCACCATAGCCCCTCCCCAGGTGTAGCGGACACTGGCTTACATGGCTCTGTGGAGGCCCCTCATCGTAGGTGAAAATAACAGAGCTGGGACTCCTGAGCGCTTCATTCCTAACCAGTTGTTTGTTGATTTCTTTGGCCAAGTTCATTGCCTTCTTTTAGACCCCAAACCCACCGTCTATGGGTTCTTGTACAGATCAAATTATAATGTAAGTAAGGACTTTTGGAAAAGGCTATGCAGGCAATAGTTATCATGAAGCCTCATCTTTAACAATTCAGTACAAATGACCAAATTATTGCCGACAGATGCTACCCCCCCCCCCCCCGAGAGAATGGATCATATTCTTTCCTGAGCCCCTTGTACAGACCCCTGTCTTAGCATCGGCTTGTGTGCATTTCTACCTCCACCCATTAGACATTCTTGTTTTAAACTTACAAAATGTTGTGATTTTTTTACACTCTCATTGGGCAAACAGAACCAACATTGAGTCATCTTTTAAATTGGTGAAGCTGATTTGTATGTGATCGTGTGTCCTGTTCTACCATGCTTCCAGTCATCGCAAACTATTCTCCTCTCCTCTGGTGTGCTAAAATATTGAGGAGACACCCTGTTTTCAAGACTGGGCATGTTGTGGCGTGGAGGGAAAGCTCACATCTGTGCAGGGCCCTCCCAGAAGCTGCAAGATCACGTTCTGTTTAGCTCCAAATACCTTGTGTCTGACCCAGTAGATGAGGCACCGCAGGGGGGTGATAACAGCTGAGTAAGTAACTGAAAGAAAATTCTTTCATAGGGACCCAGGAAGACCAAAAACCTTCAAGATCTAAATGAATCTCTAATAGTAAAGATTCAGATTTCATAACAGGAGATAAAGAAACTATTTAGGAGATCCTGGCACTTCACAAATCACACTATACGGTGTGTATTGGCCCCTCTTGCTGTTGTAAGTGCTTTCCCACACAATACAGCGTGAGACCAGACAGGAACTCTCAAAAGCACCCCTTGCCATCATTTACCCATAATGCAAGTCTTCTTTGAAAAGATAGCGAAGTGCTCACTTCAGCAGCATAGATACTAAAAATGGAAAGATACAGAGATTAGCATGGCCCCTGCAGAAGGATGACACGCAATTCATGAAGCACTCCATAAAAAAAAAAAAAAGGTTAAAAAACTGTTATGCATTTCTTTCTGTATGTAGATATCCATGTTTTAACTAAAGTGAACATTGGCTTGTTATGACTCTTGTTATCATATATTTTTCCTACATACAAGTTCAAATGAATCAAGCTCTTCCTGTGGGTTTGTTTTGTTTTCGCCTAGTAGTCCTGTCTTAGGTAACATAGGTGTAGCCTTCTTTGAATTTTTATCTGGCTTCATAATAAAGCTTTATAGTTGGTTCTCCCCATCAGGATCATGCTGGGTAAGGGGAAAGAACTGGACTTTCATTTTGAAATTGTTTTAACTTTGGCCAATGGAAACTTTCGTAGCTTCCTGTGCAGGTCAGCGATTTAACGTTGCAATATCCATAGAAACCATACTTCATTGTGGGCCTGTCCTAGAAGTTCTGAGTTAGTAAAGGAGTGGTCTGGGGGTATCGGGCAGAGAGTGTGTGAGGACCTCATTTGCTGCTTAACTAAGGGTTAAAGGGACTTATTGCACCCAACCCCAAATGTCTGTGTGCAGGAAGAGCTGTATAAATCTCTCTTCTTTGGCCAATGAAGAAATTAAAGTAGTTGTTCCCTTTTCTCTCCTTTCCTTTTCCACATTGTAACTTATTAAATCTTGTTTACAGAGATGTGATTCAAATGTCACAAATTCCCCCTTTTCCCCCATAAGAGGAGATGCATGTTTGAGCTCACTTCATGGCGCTCCTCAGCCCAGCGTTCTGTCCTTTGCACTCTCCCTGCTCTTGGCCCCTGCCTGGCTTCTCCTGGTACCTGGCACTCTGGGTGGATAGAATTGTGTCGCCTTTATTTGCTAAGTGTCTCCACTGATGAGTTATTGCTCACCTGTTTGTTGTAAGGTGTTACTAATAAACGCAGAAGTCCTGAAGTTTGCAGGATTCCTACTTTTTTTTCACATATAAAATTGGATTCAAGGTTATCCCATAACAATGTTACCCTCACTTGCTTGCCTTGCATTGGGAATAACCCTGAGTGTGCCCAGAGGGATGTGTCAGGAACAGGAATGTCATCTGTCAGGTGTGGCATGCCAGAAGGAAAAAAAGGTTGAAAAGCGCAATGTTAGAGAATAAGCTCTTTGATCAAAACGTCTGTCTGACTAATTTTGTAACCCACCCTGGGCCTAGTACGGTGCCTCGCACAGGGGCTCCACACATGTCCTGAATGAACTAATGAGTGCAACCTGATCGGTTAGTCCATCCCCCAGACCATTATCCTGGAGAAGGAAAAACATGTGAGGCATTTTGGGCTTGCTTTTGACATCACATTTCAAAAAGTGAATTTCCTTCTTGTAAAAGGTTTACTGTACGTAGAAACTGAGGAGGTTTTGCTCACGGCCTGCCAGGACCAGTGTCCAGAGCCGTTAGACACAAGGGTCACTTTCGTAATCCACCATCGCAATATCAGACCTTACGTTTTTCTGCCTAAGTGGTTCTGGTAAAATTGTTATCACAAGTTATTACCCGTAAGTCTAACCTATTCAGAAGGAATAGGTGGTTGATATTGTCGTTTGAAGACAGAGAAATATTTGTGTAGACATTTGATCCAATCTGTATTGTTATTGAATGTGTAATTGGTGAGAAAATAGCAAAGACAAATTTAAATTCTTGCATCTCTAACCTTGTCAAAGCATCTGAGCATTCATTCATCATCATTATCTTGGGTTCCTGCAGCCAGCGGACTTCATAGGAAAGCAAGCACTGAAACAGATTAAAGCCGAGGGGCTGAAACGGAGACTGGTCTGCCTCACCTTGGCAACGGACGATGTGGATCCGGAGGGAAATGAAAGCATCTGGTACAATGGCAAGGTGAGTGCTAGGGCCTCGTGGCCGGGGCCACTGTGTCTTTTCTGCAACAGAAACTCTCCTGGTCTGTTTCCTGTTAGAGCTTTTGCTCTTTATCTCTTTGTGGGATGACACACTTGATTTCTGAGCTGCCCTTCAGGAAACAAACCAACTAACTAAAAGGAAAACGAAATGCTATGCATTTTTGAAAACATAAAATTCATATGCTTTGATTAAAGAAAATAACCCCAAGAACTTGAAATACATTCAACAGTGAGGAAGGTATGGTTTAGGGAGGAAATCAGCTATTGGCTCACCACATCCATGTCTGTGAATACAGGAGATGGATTTTATAAACAATGTGGCATTCTGACCTAGCTTCTTTCAGAAGAAGGCGATTCTATCCTTAGCACATTATTAGAAAATAAATATCCAAATGAAAACATCTACGGTAATAAAGGGTAGAACTTTAGAAGGTAAAGTGAAAAGTGGAAACCACTAGTTCACCAGGAGGAGAAAAATTACCTTCTTCTCACTTCGGAAAGTTACATTTCATTCTCTCCTTTGGTATTCAGTTAAACCAGGGAACTCTCCCACAGACTTCATTCCCACCACTTTTCACAGCCATTTGTAAAATCTATTTTGGCTCAAAATGTTGCTGCGTTTTGGCTGGACTTACCAGGCAGGTGTAGGGCACTCAGTTTATACCATGGGGCAGGCATAGGGCCTTCACCTAACAGCCCGTCCATATTGAACAGTGTCTGCTTGGTCAATACCCAGCATCTCAGAGTTCATGCCTGGGTTTGTTGTTGTTGTTGTTGTTTTTCCATGCACTGCAGCCTACTTAATATTTTTTCCATTTCCCCCATCTCTTCAGTGATAAAAAGAGCACCGGACGAGGGGAAGCCAGTGGGATCAAATGCCAGCCTTTAGATTATAAGGAAGTGGCCATTTGGGCTGGAGCACAGTTCAGCTGGACGTAGAACTAACACCTACAGAGTTTCTATTATGTGCTGATGTCTTTATGCACCCTCCAATCCGATTCTCTCACACCCTTCCCAGATGTGTGTGATCACCTTCATTTTAATGAGGCTGAGCACTGTGATGAGGCTTTGGGGCTTAGTTGAAGTCACTTACCCGAGGTTAGGTGAAGTAACTTGCCTGAGCTCGTGATTGATGGAGCTGATTTCTGGCCCAGGTACAGTTGGACTTTGAATTGCTCATCCTTTCTTCTAAGCCATGCTGCATACCCCAATTTGCTCTCTTCTCTGTCTCTGCTGATGTCCCATGGCCTTCTCTGCAGCACTAATTATATACCCACAGTTCTTGTACATCTGAGTAGCAGGTGGGTGTTGTCAGACACTGTGAAGCCAACAGACTTTTCTCAGATCTCAAGCTCTTACCAAGGGCTTCACCTAGAATAGCGCTGAGTCTGTTCTTCTGCTTGCACCATTCCTACTCTTACCTCACGGCGTCCCCTTCCTCTTTCTGCTCTAAACCTCTTCTCTTAACAGGCTCTTCCTCCAGTTTCAAATATGCCCACAATTTCTGCTGATAACCACCTCTGCCACAGACTAACTGCTTGGCCGGATCTTAGCCTCTCTGGGCCTCAATTTTCTCACCTGCAAAATGACGCCATTGGAAAAGATAACAGCTAAGTTTTTTCCCACCTCTCATTCATTGTTTTCCTAGTGATTCTATTGCTCTCACCTAATCTTTTGTTTTACATGTTCACTCTATTTTCATCTAGCTTTCTCAGTCTTCATAATACAGTCCATGCCCAGCCTTCCGCCAACTCCGTTTCACTGGGCCATGAAGGGTAGGTTATGCCGTAGTAATCTGTATGCAACCGCACAGCAACCAGGAGGGACGAACAGACCGTTAGCCTTCGTAGATAGGACACCCAAGTTAAAGTGAAAAAGCCTGGACACCTGTACTGTTAATTCTATCTCAAAGCTGGGGGGAAACCCCTGGAAACCCAAGTTCCGTTTTTGAATTTTCCTTTGCCGTGTCCGTGCACTGAGTTTACATGCTATATTGTTCATCTTTCCCACTGTATGCCACCTGCTTACAGAGATGTTAATCTACTTACAGGGTCCTTTATTAATAATATACCTTGTAAATGTCCTCATAATCAGCTTGCCTGCTGTGTAGTGCTTAGTAGGGTCATCCTCTCATCCTTTTATCATGCAGATGACCCTCTTAACCCTCTTCATACTCTAGAATGATATGAACTAGTTTGTGCTTTGTATTTCCTGACTTGGCCTGGACTTGTTCTGCCTTGGTGTTGGCGTTCCATTCTTGCAAATATCTCCAGTGTGAGAGATAGGGTACAAATGTATTCATGTATTCAACAAGTTTTTATTGAGCATTTACTAAGTGCCAGCAGTATTCTAGGGATGTGGCAGTGGACGAAACAGGCAAGAATCTCTGCCCCTGTGGAGCTTAGATTCCAGGGGAAGGAGAAAGAGACAATGAGCATAATAAATAAGTGGCATGTCGGAGAGTGATTAGTACCCTGGGGAAAGGTAGAGTTCAACTGAGTGATGGGCAGGCTGGACAGAGAATTTAAAATTTTAAATAAAGTTTAATTTTTTTAAAAAAATCAAGGCACAATGGTGGGAATGGGAAGGGGTTTTCTTAGTTATAAAAGAAGCTTTGCTGATACGTAGGTTTTGAAAAAGTTTATGAAGGAGGAAGCTTGGAGAATTTAGAACGTCTTCTTTTCCATTATTTATAAAGTAAAACACACAGACACAACCAAAGAAACACAATATATCATTCAATTGAAATCATGTGACTGCCTTCAAAGGCCATTAACCATGTTATCTTCTCTAAGTCAGTCAGAGTCATCTTCAAGTCTCATAAGAGAGGAACGAGAAAAGGCTAGAAATAGCAAGGTTTGTTTGCAGTGGTAGAAAGAAGGCCAATGTTTGCTTTCACGGAGAATATGAGAGAGTATGCAGTAGGCAGAGCGCAAGGGCAGGTTGTTCTTGTGATTCAATGAGCGAGAAGAAGCAATGAATTTAATTAAATCTGGAAGACTCTAAGGTAGAAACAATATAAAATTTATGCTACAAAAAAAAATCTTTCCCTGGGTATTTAGTAATAGGATAACAGGAAAGGCCAGACTTCCAAAATACTCTGGGCTACTAACTCCTAGATTAGAGAGAAATTAAAGGGGAAATGAAAGTGATTTAGCAGAAAGCAAAGCATTTGATAAATATTTTAAAAATAGCATTCACAAAATAAATATACTATTTCTTTAACTTACTAATGCAGAAATAACTGTAAGATAATCACTTTGGGGATATTAAGAGATAGGAAGGCCCGAGAAAATGGCATATACAGGATCTGAAGAGTGATGGTGGGGCTGTGACCCAGTGAGTTAGGGGATTTGGCCAAGAAACCTGCTGGGGCCTCTTCTTGTTTTCTTAAGAAGCCCAAGCAAGCCAGGTCAACTTCCCAGAGCTCCAAACACAGGTCCCTGTTTCACAGAGTGGGAAGTGAAACCAAAGTTACCAAGAAAGTCTTTCAAAAGGCATTGATTAAAACTCCATCCTCCCTGACCCAGAGTGCTGTCTTTTATCACTGAACTATAATCTAAAGGAGAAAAGCAATTTTAAAACATGTGTGTTATCTCAGCAATATTTTGGCAGTTAATAATCTACAAGAGAGAAACCTTTACTAATAAATGCATTCATGTTTGCTTATTTGTTTTAATCAGCCAGTTTTCACTATAACAAGTTCAGAAATCATATGGAGAGCTTCTGATTTGGGATTTCAATGTGATAATTAGAAAAACTCTGCAGAGATAGGAGTTTATATTTAAGGTCATAAAAGTGTAGCATCTAGAAGACTAGACATACTATAAGGAGGCTCTTTGCTGAGGCAACTGAAGGATCGCCAGGCTGACGCATGTCCATGGCTGTTCGGGGCACCAGCTACGGACGGCCCGCTGTGCTGGCCCGCGAGGCTGGAAGGATCGGTGGGCGTTGTGTAGCCAGGAGAAGCCATTTTGAGTAGCACTATAAATCAGATTTTGCTTTTATTGTCTTCCTTTTACATTTTTTAAAAATTTAATTAATTTATTTTTGTTACAGATGTTTCTCCTTTTTCCCCCCATTGAGACCCTCCTCCCGTTCCTGCCCCCCGCCCCCAATCATTGTTGTCTATGTCCACTGGTTATGCTTATATGTGTAAATTCTTTGGTTTATCTCACCCCCCCCCACCATCTTTTTACATTTTTAAATGTGATATGTTAAACTGACATACATATTTTGCATTTTAATCTGCTTTTCTATCTCTTTCAACCTTTCCTTTAGCTCTTATTTCCACTAATCCTCTTATCTTCTGATCAGTCTTGTTATATAACTTTTTGTGCGTGTAATGTAAAGCTTTCGTTTTCCTCTCCTAAGTTTGATTCCTGTCCAGTATTTTCCTGTTTTGCCATCCCAAGTTATCCTATTCCATCCTCCTTAACTTGGGTTGTTCACGCCTAACACTGTGTCTCCACTCATCCTGGAAAGTGTCCTCCCCAGTCTCAACACACCGAACTTCACCCACCTTCAGAGTGTGGACCAAATTCCAGCTTAATTATGTGGATGGTCTTGACTTTGTGCTGTATTTTCTTGTATCTCTGTGTTAACTCCTCAATGAGGCTGGAAGCTTATGGGGGTGGGACCAGGCATCTACTAATTCTCTAGAACTAGAGGGGGTTCAAGTCATTGTTTATTTAAGTGCCTAGCAGTTGTCAAGACTTGTTAAATGCTAGTTGTAGTCATATAGAATGTTCACTTCCCATTGACTACATATTAATAAGTAGTTTAATTGAGCACTATTTTAGCAGGCTATTTTCTGAACCCCTCCCAGGGACAGTTGACTTCATTTGTATTTTGGATTTTAGATTTTCACCCATGTATTTACTATTGCCATGCTGTTTGATCACAGAAGAGAATTTTTTTAAGTTTAAAATGGAAATACTCCATTCTTCCTCCTATTAGATCTCTTGGCATGAAACTGAGCAAAATACTATCAGGGATTAAGAAACTAGGTGCCATTATTTTAAAAATGAAAAATGTCAAAGTAATATAGATTTATACTTAGAGAATTACTTTTCATAATTTGTAAATTTTCATTAATTTTTTTCAAAAAGTGAAGTTTTCCTCCTGGTGTTATACCCACAGACAGCATATCATAAAATGTACAGATTGTGAGTTGAATCCATAATTTAAGTGTTTTCCTCTGGAGGGAAGAATCACAAAGCTGGGACCAAGATGCTGAAGATGGCCGGGTCTTGTTTTTCAGGTAGTTGGCAACACGACCTCTGGAAGCTACAGTTACAGCATCCAGAAGAGCCTGGCTTTTGCATACGTCCCCACAGAGCTCAGTAAGGTGGGACAACAAGTGGAAGTTGAACTATTGGGCAAACATTACCTAGCAACCGTCATACAAGAACCCTTGGTACTGACAGAACCAGCCAGAAACCGGCTTCAGAAAAAAGGTGGAAAGGACAAAATTTGAAAAAGACCTCCAGCAATCAACTGAATTATGGGTGTTATGTGACTGTATTCAAAATTATAATTGATATGTAGGTAAACAGAAGACTAAAGATTCATTTCAAAATCATCACAATCTAGATTTAGAATCTTACAACTTTTCTCCTGTTTTCTCAGCAAGATAGAACAATGGGTTAATGCTTTACATTGTTGTTTCAAATGAAGAGATTAGAAATGGATGTTTTTATTATTCTATATTGTTGTCTATGAAATTCAATCAGTAAGACATTTAGGTGTTTGTTAATATACAATCATTGCTACAAAAGAATTACAGGACATTATCATTTTAGGAACATATACATATAGTTTTTATTAGCTGAAAACAAACTAATAAATTATGTTTTACATAAAAACAAATGCAATGCTGTTAATGGATTTACTGCACTGAGAAATATTTTCTTAGTTGATGAGTAATAGTTTTAATTTTTCATAATATATCTTTGATGAAAATAGTATAATTTAATATTGATATATAACATTTTATTCAGTTCTCTGAAATACTTATCTTTTTAATGACTTCCCCGAAAGTAGCTTTATAGGACATTATTATTGTCCTTTCAAAGGTTGTTTTAGAAGAGAAATTGCAAAAAAGAAGTCTTTCAAAGGAAATGATACTTGCAAACCTTCTAAAATGAAGCTGAAATATACATAGTTTGTGGCAGTGCACACGCAGTTTGAATACTGAACACCTCTCTTTGGGGAAGAATTAATGCAAGCTGACATCACACTGTGCTGTTCTGAATATCATTTCACAAAGCATTTGACAAAATAGGTCAAACAAGAGCTTAACAGCTGATGGGATTGCCCTTAGCTCTGTGTACAGCAAGGAAAAAATCCATTTAGAAGTAATTCTTTGATATATTCTTGAAATTATTTGGGTTTAGTTGACTGAGTAAGTCACATTTTGTAAAAGGTAGTTTATCATTTATAATTTGTTATACACTGGCTACACATTTATTGAACTTTTTCTAGGTACTAAAGAATGCTGAATGTGAAGAGCATGATAAGATTCTGTAATTAGAATGGATTTTCAAATAATTTCTTGCAAATTTTGAAAAGGTGTCAAGTTTGCATTTTAAATGTTTCATAAAAGTAGTTATATATTAGAACACTTCAATGTGCATTTATTTCTCTCTGGTATGTTCTCTTAAATAAGAAAAGGAGGAAATCATTTTGGTAACAAACATTTCCTAATTATCAAGAGTTAGCCAGCCCTGCCCGGTTTTGCTCAGTGGTTAGAGCATTGGCCTGCAGTCCTGGTTCAGTTCCCACTAAGGGCAAGTACTTGGTTGCAGTTTATCCCTGGCCCTGGTTGGGTCATGTGGGTGGCAACCACTCAATGTGTTCCTTTCACATCAATGTTTCTCTCTCTCACCCCCTCCCACTCTATCTGAACAAAAAATAGAAAAATGTCCTTGGGATTTAAAAAAAAAAGAATTGACCAGACCCTCTATGTTAGTTCTGGTATTAGGTGCTGGTTAATGACTTTGGATGGGAATCAAGAGATCCCAATTCTCATTTTCTGCCTTTCTGTAGCCCTATAACTTTAGACTATCTATTTACTATCTCTGGATACCTCTTATGCAAAATAGAGTCTTCCAGTTCTTTCTTTTTTTTTTTTTTAATGCTATAATAACAAGAAGCAATAATGAAAGTACAGCATTGAATGCATGTCATATAGTTAATAAAGCACTAAAACAGATCAATGAAAGAATAGAACATTTAGATGACTATTAAACAGTTAAAGAAGTCCTACCCAAAGTCTATAGAAGAAGTTTACATCCTGCTTTCCTTTAGAAGTTGCCTCCATTCCTTCTTTTGTGTATGTTGGGTGCTATTAAGTTTTGTAGGTGAGCCCAGCACCCCATTACCTCCTGGCCAGTGGTTCTGGCCTAGGCACCAGGTTTGGCATTAGCCAATCTAGAAGCTGACCAATGACCTACAAGTAACTTGGCTATAGAGAGACGAGCCAAGTTAACCAGATTTTCTCCCATGGTAATTTGAACTGTGAACCCTCAGAATAAACTGATCAGCACTAAAAGCTGGGGATGCAAAGATGTGTAGAAAGAGAAGCCTTGAAGCCTTGGGGCAAGGTGGGCTCCGGAGAAGGAGAAAGGCCCCGAGAGGCAGAGCGAGAGAATGACGAGTCCTGGCAGCTCCTGGCTCCTGGTGGCCTGGCAGCCAGTCCGTGGGTGAGAACCTTGACTCAGAAGAGCCTACAAAACCCATGGCTTCTGGAAAGTGAACCATATCCTCAGAGAGGCCTCAAGGGATGGGCCCAGGATTAGTGTCAGCTGTGAACAGCAAACAACCAGCGAGCTTGCAAGTGCCCTGGTGATGTGCAGGAGCCGAGAAATGTTCTCCGGAATGTGGTGGTGACTGATGGGCACTTCTCTGGAGCTTGGGAAGCTTTTGGAACCAAAATGCACTTTCCAGTCAACACATTTTCAAAATGTTTATGGGTGTTATGTTACTGATGGTCACATCCTAAATAGCCTGTCTTTATTCTTTTCTACAGATAGGAAAGGTGACAGAAAAAAATGTTTTAAAGTAAGCTGTGTGGGATAGTAAATGGATAGATTAGATTCTGGACTTTTAGTGAGAGGAACTTGTGCATACTCTAATTGAACAGAAAGAAAGGTTGAACCCTGGCCCGATAGCTCAGTTGGTCAGAGCATCGTCCCGATATGCTAAGGTTGTGGGTTCGATCCCTGGTCAGGGCACACACAAAAATAAACCAATGAATGCATAAATAAGTGGAACAACAAATTGATGTTTCTCTCTCTAAAATCAATTTAAAGTTTTTTTTAAAAATAAAGGTTGACATTATTAGGAAACACAGTAGCTATGAAAGGAAGAAAGCTATATAAACAGCATCCATTAGCCAAGCTCTCAAAAAAGCAGAGAACCAAAAATTAAGTTAATTATACTTTCTCTTGATGAATCTTCATATAAAAATAAAAATGATGCTCCTGCTTTGTTTATCTCTCTGCAATCAGTAAATCTTTAGAATAGGACAGTAGTTTATAGATGCTACATTATGGATTATAAAAGGGAAATGCGTTACTTAATCGTCTTTTATCCAGGTGTGATCTTGTAAGGATTAGCATGTCATGAAGCATAGAGGTGGCAAGGTGGTAGAAAGGCTAGTGGACTGAAAGCCAGATGACTTGCATTTCCCAGCTCTGCCACCAGCTCAACACAAATTACAGTCATCTACCAAAGCCTTCCCTGCTGTAAAGTTCTATGAGTAATTACTTCCCTTAGTAAAGTGTTCATTAGTCTACACATGTTCACTGATTACATACTAGAGGCCAGGCACTAGAATAGCAATGAACAGACATGGTCCCTGCCTTTATGGAGCTTACAAAGTAGAGAGGTCAAGCATTTAACCAGAACAACAACAAATGGTATATTTAGTTACAGAGGGGTCATGAAAGCGAAGGGGAGAAAACATGTTGAGAAGGAGAGGATAGAAAATAGTGTTAAAAAATAAAAGGTGTCATGTAGGATTAAAGGTTGAACAGTGCCTCTTGGCTTAAGCAGCAAAGCATCATTGGTATCATTGGCATGAACTATTTCAGGGTACTGGTGAGGGCAAAGCCAGATTGCATTGAAAAATGAATAGGAAGGAGGTGAGACATTGGAGATAAGGAACATAGAATGTTACCATCCTAATTAGGAGCAGTTTTCTAATTATGATAGGTTATAAAGAGTATCAGAAAGCATTCAGCTGCAAGTAAGAGAATACCCCATTGAGCAGTTTAAGGAATTATTTATTTTATTAAATCACATAGCGAGAAATTTAGAGGTAGGTTCAATGACATCATTAAGTATCTCTGTTCCTTTTCCCCCCACTCTGTGAAATCCTCTTCCCCCCAAAACATGTGTTTTTTATTGCAATTGTTGATATTTTGGTCGTCTATGTACTTATCTATTTCAAATGAGCACATTTCTATTACTTATCTTTATAAACATTGTATTCTACATGGAAATTAATGTAAAGAACACCAATAATAGTCTGAAAAGTTTCCAGTAACAGACAATTACCAGACTTAATGTAGTGATTACATTGTAAGATATATAAATGTCAAATCATTATACCATACACCCGAAATTAAAAACTATTGCATATCAACTACAGTGATACCTCGGTTCTCGAACATAATTCGTTCCAGGAGGATGGTCGAGAACCGAATTGTTCGAGAACCGAAGCAATGAAACCCAATAGGAAAGCGGACTCCACAAAGCGTGACTCTCTCTCTGCACTCACACTGATGACGCAAGCAAGGCGCGCTGGGCCAAATGAACGCCATTCGGCTCAACTCGGCTCATCTCGGAAGTTCGAGTTCCAAATATTTGTTCGGATTCCGAGACAAAAGTTTCTCGAATCCCGATTTGGTCGAAAACCGAGGCGTTCGAGAACCGAGGTATCACTGTATACTTAAATAAAAAGAAAGAAAGAACCCCTGGCTATACCATAGAACTGTAGCAGTCACAGACTCAGCTGTAGGCATTCATTTCCAAGTAAGTTCTTTAACTTCAAGTTAAATCATTCAAGTTTCTTCAGACACAGTTTGGGTCTTTATGCAGAAATTGTGGAGAAGAAAATTAATTAACAAGAAAAAAACAAAATCTAAGGAAATGGTCGTTTATACAGAAAAAGCAATCAAATTTCAAGGAATGTCAGAAAAAACAGCACAAGATGCTGGTCTCACATTGCTAGAAGAAATCAGAAGAGCAGTATTTGAATGCCTTGATCTTTTCCACCAATAACTGGGCACTTGCTTTGAAGCAATAGATCAAATAATGCCAATGTTTGTTACCATTCAGCCATCTTCTTTGATTTTGGAAGATAAAGGAAACCTTTCAAAGTATATAAGAGAAATGTATGATGATTTTTCTGATAAGGGTGTCTTAGTGGAAAATGTTTAACTAAAATATTGGGAAGTTACTATGATTGTTCCCAAAGGACAGTACTGGTGTAGACAGTACTGCAGTTTCTGGAGTTTGTTGTTAAAGGACATTTTTATGAATCTCTGCCAAACTTATTATGTTAAAGTCTTTTTCTAATTCTTTGTACATCTGTTGGTCATGTAAAAGAAGCTTTAGAAATTAAAAGCTTAAAAAAATATTCTGCAATCAACTACGTACAAACATAACTGGACTCATCTGGCTATACCATCTATTAGCATATGAAGAAAATTAACGTCAGTGAAGTCACTGCAAAACTTAAAGCTTAAAAACAGAAAAGGTGAGTTTATTATTTATAGACAATAGGCCAATTTATCACAATATCACAATAGCCCAATACGGAGATATATTTCCCTTTAAAAAATACATTAATTTAAAAATATTAACTTTTTTGTACTATAGTATTTATTAACAAAATGTACTATGTAGTACTATGTACTATAGTATTTATTAACAAAAAATATTAACTTTTTTGTACTATAGTATTTATTTTACTTCTAT